AGAAATGCAGGAGTTGCTATTTGTTGTGTGTCTAATGGAATTACCTAGACCTTAAACACTTTAACAAGTGGTTACTTTGCCACTGTCAGGAATTTGGTTAATGCAAACTCATCCCATTCTACAAACAGAAAATTACAGGCCAGGTGTGGTGGCCTGTCTCTAATTCCAGAACTTTAGCAAGTTCTGGAAGTTCTTTACAAAGTTCATTGCCCTGTTGAATGTACTCAAATCAACTCTCAGATGTTGTCTACTGCAAGCTTCATGCTGTGGTTCCATGTTTCATCCTAAGTGGTGATTTGCATGGGGCAGGCACATTAGCACATAAGGATAAAAGAGCAACGGGGAGATCCCCGTCCACAGACAGGGCTCCTGCTGAGAGAAGGATGCTGATTGACCCTTGGGAAACATAGTCTTTCCCAGTGTTGACTTGATTAAGCCAGAGCTCTTCTTCTTCCAGCCCAGAAGTTGAATGTGAACAAGAATAACAAATGACTGTGGGAACTGGGCCAATATTGTTTTACTTCCAGGGATATCTGCTGTATCTACTTACCTACCTACCGATGTATCTATCTCTTTTCATTCATCATTCCTCACCATACATACAGGGTCACCTAAATTATTGGATACTCATCCATATACATTTGCATTTCTCTGTTATCTCGTGCTTGAACTTCTGAGTTGTGTCCAGTCTAATGTTTATCATAGTTCAAAGCAGCTTTATGAGCTGTCCCAGTCCTTTTTTGGTGCTATAAAGGAATACCTGAGGCAGGACAATTTACAAAGAAGAGAGGTTAAGTCTGACTCACAGTTCTGCAGGCTGTGCAGGAAGCATGGTGCCTGTGTCTGCTGCTGGGGAGAGCCTCAGGCTGGTTTCACCTGTGGCAATAAGTGAAGGGTCCCATCATGTGCAGGGGTCACATGGTGAGAGATGACACAAGGCAGGGAGTAGTTTCCAGGCTCTTTTTAAGAACTAGCTGTGCCGATGACTCATAGAAAGAACTTATGTACCCCCAGAGGACACAAATATATTCATGAAAGACCTACTCCCCATGAGCCAGAGAGCCTCCAAGTTCAACTCTGAAAACCAAATTTTAACAGGAAACTTGCAGGAGACAAATGTGCAATCCATAACACTCACTCACTTAACATAGGTGAATATCTTTACCCTAGGAACAATTTCATGACCAAGTATGCTCAATGGTTTGAATGCAGTTCCATATGTCCATGTTATTCTATCATGTAGTTTATTTTTTTTCTTGGAAAAGGGACATATTTATCATTAGATGGTAATCATTCCTACCATTGTTGAAATGGCCAGTAGTCCCCTAATTCTGCTTCCTACCTGTGCACACTTGAGTGTTTCAGAGAACACCCTGGAACACAGGACTCTCTCTTTTAGGGAGAACTTTGAGAATCATAAATACTCCACAGTGCTATAAACAGGAACAGATAGCTTATGTTCCTTTGCGCACTGGCAGGGTGGGCTAGTCACTTGGTCTTTGTGTGCAGAACCACTGACTATACAGTGTCCATGTATGGACCTTTGTGGGTCATTTGAGCTCAGGAGTTCGACACCAGCCTGAGTAAGAGCAACACTCCATCTCTACCAAAAAATAGAAAAAATAAGCCGAGCATAGTGTTGCATGCATGTAGTCCCAGCTACTTGGAGGCTGAGGCAGGAGGATCCCTTTAGCCCAGGAGTTTGAGGTTGCTGTGAGCTAGGCTGATGCCATAACACTCTAGCCCAGGCAACAGAGTGAGACTCTTGTCTCAAAAAACAAAAGAAAAGAAAAGCACGAAACCACAAGAATCCTAAATGGAAATGTAGAAAAAAGCTCTTCTAGATATTGGCCTGGACAAAGAATGTGTGACTAAGACCCCCAATGCCAATCATGCCAACAACAAACATAAATACATTGAATTTGATTAATCTAAAAAGCTTCTGCACATCTAAGGTTACAGTCAACAGAACAAATAGAAAACCTACAGAGTGGGAGAAAATATTCATAATCTGCATATCCTATAAAGGGCTAATAACCAAAATTTACAAAGAACTCAAGCAA